CTGTGTGTTCTAGCCTTTGTTTTTGTTTTTTTGTATTATAAGGTCTAGTATCACAGGCTACCCCAGTCAATTGTTACCCTCTTCCCTGGGCTTTCTGAAAGCTGGCATTGCAGACATATACCACCATACTCTGATCTTTTTTTTTCTTTTTTTTTTTTTTTTAGTATTTTGCATTGCTCTTTGTTATTCCATTTATTTGCCAATGTTTGGATTTAATTTGTTCTTCTTCTTCTTCCTTGAGTTGTAACATTAAGTTGATAATTTTTTTTTCTTATCGTATTGTTGCATTGTGTTGGTTTTTCTGGTTTCTATTCATCAAAAGTAAACATAAGGAAAGAGAGTTTTATTTTAGCTGGAGGTTCCACGTTACTGGTTACTGTCTATCATCAATCATGGTGGGGAAGGAATGGCAATGGGAGCTCACAACAAAACTTGGTCACACATTAGATCAAAAACTAGACACCTGCCTTGAAATAAGGTTAGTCTGTAACACTCAGAGGCCTGCCCCCGAGTAGCTCTCCACTACAAAACATGTCTCCACCCTCAAATGTTCTGTGCCCTATAAAAACAGTGCCATCTGATGAAGACCAAGTGTTGAGACTGTAGAAGCAGGTCACCATCCAAAAAGCTCGACTGCAAATTTGTCCTAAGCTATTTTTATTGCCTTCTATTGTGGGGCCCTCTCTTCCCTCAAAGTCCATTGGTCACCAGTCTGTTGTAATATGAGCGGCGGGGCTGCGTCCCCGACACCCGGCCGCTTGCATTGCTAACTTATGTCCCGAAATAATTACAAAGAAACTGTATTCTTTTAAACGCTGCTTGGCCCATTAGTTCCAGCCTCTTATTGGCTAGCTCTTACATATTGATCTAACCCATTTCTAATAATCTGTGTAGCCCACGGGGTGGCTTACCAGGAAAGATCTTAACCTGCGTCTGTCTGGAGTGGGAGAATCATGGCGACTGCCTGACTTGGCTTCTTTCTCCCAGCATTCTGTTCTGTTTACTCCACCCACCTAAGGGTTGGCCTTACAATGGGCCTAGACAGTTTCTTTATTAATTAACCACTGAAAGCAACAGATTAGAAAGAAATCACTCCCACATCATTTCCCCTCTTTCTGTTTAAACAAAAAAGAAGACTTTCATTTTAACATAGTAAAATTATATATAACAAAACAATTATAAAGCAAGAATTACAGTTACAATATTTATATATATTTTATCCTTTATCATAACTAAGGAAAATTATAACTAACCATTCTTCAACTCCATCAACGACTCCAGAAGGATATAATTTTTTTTTCTTTTTTTTTAATCTTTTTTTTCTTCTCCTCCTCCCACCTTTCTCCCCCTCCCCCTACTCTTCTCCCCCTCCCTCTCCAGTCGAAAGAGCAGTCAGGATTCCCTGCCCTGTGAAAAGTCCAAGGTCCTCCCCCCTCCGTCCATATCTAGGAAGGTGAACATCCAAACTGGCTAGGCTCCCACAGAGCCAGCACATTAAGTAGGATCAAAACCCCATGCCATTGTCCTTGGCTTCTCATCAGCCCTCATTGTTCGCCATGTTCAGAGAGTCCGGTTTTATCCCATGCTTTTTCAGTCACAGTCCAGCTGGCCTTCGTGAGCTCCCAATAGATCAGCCCCATTATCTCAGTGGGTGGGTGCACCCCTCATGGTCCTGACTTCCCTGCTCATGTTCTCCCTCCTTCTGCTCCTCATTGGGACCTTGGGAGCTCAGTCCAGTGCTCCATGTGGGTCTCTGTCTCTATCTCCATCCATCACCAGATGAAGGTTCTATGGTGATATGCAAGATATTGGTCAGTATTGCTATAGGATATGGTCATTTCAGGTTCCCTATCCTCAGCTGCCCAAGGGACTAACTGGGGACCTCGGCTTGGGCTCCTGGGAGCCACTCTAGGTTCAAGTCTCTTGCCAACCCTAAGGTGGCTCCCTTAACTAAGAATTGTGCTTCCGTGCTCCCCAATCCAACCTTCCTTTATCCCAATCATCCTTTTTCCCCAAGTTCCCCCCCTCCTCCCCTTCTCCCTTTTCTCTCCCCATCTCCCCTTACCCCCATCCCACCCCACCCCCAAGATCCCAATTTTCTTCCCGGCAATTTTGTCTACTTCCCATAGCCAAGAGGATAACTATATGTTTCCCCTTGGGTTCACCTTCTTACTTAACTTCTTTAGGTTCACCAATTGTAGACTCCGTGACCCTTATTTATGGCTAGAAACCAATTATGAGTGAGTACATCCCATGTTCATCTTTTTGGGTCTGGGTTACCTCCCTCAGGATAGTGTTTTCTATTTCTATCCATTTGCATGCAAAATTCGAGAAGTCATTGTTTTTTTACCACAGCGTAGTACTCTAATGTGTATATATTCCATACTTTCTTCATCCATTCTTCAATGAAAGGCATCTAGGTTGTTTCCAGGTTCTGGCTATTACAAATAATACTGCTATGAACATGTGCTTGGTTCTTGGATCAATTTGCTTGGGATGTCGTTTTCCATCCTTTTACCCTGAGGTGATGTCGCTCTATGGTGATGTTGCTCTATGACGGTTAGGTATGTTTCCCGAATGCATCAGAAAGATGGGTTCTGTTTTCCAGTCCACTTTGTTAGTCTGTGCTTCTTATTGGGGAATTGAGACCATTGATGCTGAGAGTCATCACTGAGCACTGTTCATTGAGTGCTGTTATTTGGTTATGGGGTGGGTTTTTCCCCTCTTTTGATTTGATAATCTTGGATTATTTATTCCTTATTTTTTTAAATGTGTTTAATAACTTAAGATTTGTTTTTCTTCTAGTACCATTTGTAGAGCTGAATTGATAGATATCATATGTCAAGAGGTTGTGTCTCTAGTGATTTGAGGTGGGGTGGGAAGGGTACCTTCTTCCACATGCTGCTTCAGGACTGCAGGTGAGACCAAAGAGGTCATAATAGAGGACAGGAAAGACAGTGAAAGCCACTTGAGCCACAGTCCTGTGTGGCAACTTGGGTTCCCTGACAGAAAGTGTTTGGGTGAGAGTGTCCCCAAGAAAGAGCTAAGCTATGTTTAAACCAAGAAGAGGTAGAGTCCCCAGTGAATGGACATGGCATGGGTAAAGGGGTACCTACAAGCAGGCAGCTACAGGGCTAAGAGTGACCTGATTTTTGTATTATCCCAGTCATTGTGTGCAGAAGCCCCGGTGAATAGTATCTTTTCCTTCATGTGTGTGTGTGCACTCATGTATGATAATCTCTTCACTTTTGGGCTGGGTGTATGTTTTATTAATGCTGTATACAATAAACTTCAGCATGCTACAGCAACAGACTCTAATTTCTTTGTGGATTTTTCTTTTCCTTTTTTTTTATTTTTGAGATCTTGGTGCAGTAAGGTCTTTTTTGGATGTTCTTACCTCTAAGAAATCACTCAGACACATCATATCATAGAAAGACTCCTGTCATGCTTTTCTTCTATGTTGTCACTCCTTTGTAAGTCACAGTTCTGGGGGGATAGATTCCTCATTGTGCTGCATAGGCTTCAGAGTTAAGCATTGTTCAAACTGCTGACACCTGTTGTTGAAACCTCAAAGCCATTGCGCACTGAGCATCACCCTCCTTCCATTCCCCACGTGACGGTCAGACTCTGCCTCGTGTCAGTAGCACTTTCCGGTCTACCTGAAATACTACATCTCTGTTTCTATGCTGATATGAGATCCTGAACCAAGTGCCTTTGCTTCCTCCTCCCTCTTTGGTTTTGAAAACAATGGCTCTTTTACCAGGGTACACAGCAGTAAAGGTTCCTACCAATTCTTTAAAGGCAAATAGATTTTCCTTCTACTCTTCATAAAAAGGCAGCATTTTTTCCCCTCTGACTAAGGGCTAAGCTTTATCATTCTCCAGTAGTCCACATGTATTTGCTTTGTATAAGAAAAAAATGTGATTTTATTTCTGCCCGTATTTCAGTGGCAGCCAGTAATTACTAGCCCACAACTAGGAAGTTCTCTTGTATCCTAAATTACCCCTTTATCCTAAATTTTCTTCCCATGACTAGACCTGTGACTAAGCACATATAGGTGAAGACAAACATTTCTTATGACATATTCCCAGTGTCACATTAGCTGTACTCTGCCATTAAATTTCTTTAAAACTTAGCTCATTGTCATGTTTACTTCTGTTATTTTTTTTCCTTTTGTTCTACAAACGTAAAAGTTTTTTGTTATAGGTTCAAGAAAAGTTGTGATTCTATAGATTGTTTGTCTTTTCTTGCTTTCTAGACCTTAAACAGAAACCAAAACAGTAGTTCATATTTGAATGATTTTGTCTCTGTATAATATCTTCAGAATCTTCAATGTAAAACTGCTTCTTATTATAAGTTTAAGCTTTTCTTCTTTTTTTTAATCTGTTTTGATTTTTGTTTGTTTTTGTTTTGTTTGGTGAGAAAGGATCTCACTTATATCCCAGATTGGAATTTATTCATTTCACTGGGGGGGATAGGGGAGGCTGTAAATTTAAGATCCTCCTACCTTGCCTCTCCATATCTGTGATTCTAGTTATGTGCCACAAAGCCTAGCCAAAAGCTAGAAATGTTAACGGTCTCGGCAGCTGGTTTTGTTTATTTATTTATTTATTTTTATTTATTATGGTTCACAGTGATTTCTTTGGAGGTGTATTTTGGCTTCCACGGTAGCTGTTTACCTAAGATTTTATTCATTGTTATTTTGGCTTATTGCTGTGACTTGTGCATGTCAATTGCTCAATATTCATGGTTCATAAAAACGTCCCATATGAAGAAATGGAAAGAATAGCAAGATTCTTAAACAATTGTTCTAGATAATTTAGGTTTTAAGAAATTATTACAATTGTTAACTTTCCATGGTTCCTCAGTGACCCAAGGGAATAACCTCTTTTTAGGAAATTTTATTCATATCCCTAAGGAAATAATTGGTAATTGACTGGATGATTTCACTATACTTCTAATGCTTCCCCCTCCCCCCCATCATCTACACTTTTATTTAGAGTTTTGGAGGCTGGAAAGGCAAATGTCATCTTACCAAAAAGTTCTCCAAGTGGGATCACTCATGTGATTGCCAGTAATGCAAGAATCAGTGCTGAGCGAGAACAGAAGAACTTTAAGGCTCCTTTTTATCCAATTCAGTATTTAGGAGATTTTCTTTTAGAGGTAAGTAAAATAAGTATTAGACTTTTAAAGCATTTGTTTTCATAAAGTATCAAGAGTCATTCCTTTCAGTTCTCGAATATCCTTGAATACCAGAGTTACAGATGCTCAGCTCTAAAGCCCTTTGTGTGAAATAACATAGGGTTTATATGTCACATGTATACCTTCCTGTGTACATTAAATTGTCTCTAGATTGCTACAAGCATGGACATATTCAGGACCAGTCAGGTTTAAGCCAGCTAGTTTGTCGAGTCTGTGGTTTAGAACATGCAGAAATGGAGAGCTGATTGTTTATATTAAAACTGAGTTCTGAATTTTGAAAGTGCAATAATTAGAAACATGAATATGGGATATTTTAAGACATTCTCAATCTCTTAAATAGTCAAGAATGTGGGTATAGATTTGACAGAAGCTTAAGTTTAAACTTGTTTTATTTTCAGTCTCTACTTATATCATAAATGCTTTAGTGATATATGCTAAAAATAATTTTAAATATTTTACCATACACTATAGTAAATTAGCAGAGAATGCATGACATACAAATTTGAGATTTCTCTCTCTTTTGGAAAGGAAAGAATTATTTTTAAAATTTAGAAATAATTTCCTGCCCTCTTCAGCCTTCTTCCTTCTTCTTTGTCATGTAAATTCCAGGTCTGAAGTTTTTTTTTTTCAGCAGGGTTCAAACTCCCAGTGAAACTCCGGATAGATAAGTGAAGAATTTATGATTCATTCATAGGGTTAGAAAAAGCTCAGGATGTTCATAAATAACCTTCACCTATGAACAGTCATACTCCTTCCATTATATCTCATTTCAGCATGAAATACCTGTTAACTTGTAGATAATGCCAGTGACCTAGGATCACTTTTCAAAACTTTCCTTACTGATTTCTTATATCCAGTCTTTACTAAGTCATACCAATTCTATTTCACATATTTCTTAATTCAAACTGCTTCTCTTTGTTTTCTAACCTCATACTAACATCAAGTCTTTTCTTTGTGCAGCTAGAATAAATTTTTAATTACTTAATGATATTCTACTTTGTGTTTTCCATAATTATGTTCCGATCACCTTGCACAGAGCCTGAACATGAATTCTTATTTCATATTTGTTAGAGTAGCAGAAATTATGGAAGCCTTTTAAATCTTCTGAGTACACATAATATGTCTTTCTATACTCACCTTATCCTGGCAAGCAGTACCACTGTAGTCTTGGAAAATTCAATTTAGTTTATGGTATGTATCTATTTGAACTGTGGGAAATGTCATTGTCTTTGATAGTGATTGATCTGGGAATGAGCATGTGATCAGATCATTGGAATAGTGAAAAATATGAGAATTAAAATATTTCTTTCACAATCTAGCTTTGATAAGAAGACGGTCTTACAGACAAAAGAATAGAGATAGAATCTGGACACTTAACATAGCCCTAGAAGTAGGCACCTAAAAATCCAGAACTCTTAAAGGATGAAGCAAAAGAATCATGAATCCCTAGCTAATCTGGGCTATATAGCAGTACTGTGTCACAAACAAAACAAAATTCTGACCCCTGTGCTGATACCTGAGTTTCTGTATTCACCAATCTTAGACTAGTTCTTTCATTGGCTCTCATTGCTATTCTGAGAGTCAATACTTATTGTATTGAGTTGTTTTCAGTTGGTTTTCTAGTACTCACCACCAGTGACTAAAAGTTATTCTTGTATTTGTAAGTATATCTGAATTATATATTTTCTGTGAAGAATAATTAGAGTATATTGTTTAATAATCATACAGCCTTAGATTTAGCTGCTGAAGTATTAAAGAACAACAAATATTATGTCAACCAAAAGTAGCAGGTAGCATCTATTTTATACATTGAGCTTTAAAATGCATTGTTTTGTTAAGTTCTGTGTCAGACAGAAGTACATAACTGGCCTAAATGAGAAAACCACATTGTGAATATTTCTAGGAAGGGTGAGAACAATAACTTCATTAGTTAACTTGTCTGTTTTTTTCCAATCTGTGACATGAAACACATTATGCACCTAGTATACTTCCTTTAAAGTATCATCTACGAAGAGTTGTTAAGTATATTGACTGAGTTAAAAATGACAATCACAAAAACTCTTGTGTTCAATATTCTTAGACATTTTAGAAAGCTGAGTGGCAGAATTGGGGTAAAATTAGGCAAGGTTTGTAGGTTTTTCTGGAAGATGTGCAGTGCATTAGAGATGTGAATGGGGAACATCATATATCCATTTTTGAGGTGCTTTACCTCAAATAGGAAAATTCATTTTCTAGTAGAATACAGGTTACTAAAAATATGCAAAATAAGGGAACACAAAGGGGCAAAAGTACTAATATGTGTTAATTGTTGATCTATATAAGATGTTATAGAAAGGAGAAGTTACTTTGGGATACTTAAACTTCTTTGCACTGTCAAGGAAACTAAGAGATCTGGGGAGACGACTCCATGGACAAAGTATGAGGAGCTGAGTTCAGATCTCTAGGACCCGTAAAGCCCAACATGGTAGTACACATCTGTGATCCCAGACTCCTGTGGCGAAATGGGCAATGAAGACAAGGCTATTCCTGGAAGCTAATAGGCCAGCTAGCCTAACATATACAGGAGCAGACAATAAGAAATCCTGTCTCAAACAAAGTGAAAGGTGATGATGACACCTGAACTTGTCCTCTAGCCATCACACATGTGCATACACAGGCATGCGTGCTTACACACATCATATACATGCAGATATTTTCTTCATTGAAGGAAACTTACAGAAATAAGAATAACAGGGTACAAAAAGAATTTCTAAGTTAAATCCACTAGTTTTACCTAGGTTTACTTTACCTGTTCTGAGCCATCAAGAAGTCATTTGTTCTATGCCGTACTACAGGCGGTAGTATGCCGCTTGGTGTGTGAAAGCTAATTCCTAGTCTTGCTGTGATTGTGAGAATTCTTAGAACTGCTGCTCTGTGCCAACAGTGATCACTGTGGACACAATTCTAATCACTTACACTCTCTTTCTCATTTAAACCTATCTCTGTGTAATGGTTGGTATTATATCATTCCACCTCACGTTGATTAAATTAAGGTACAGTGGATTAAATAAATCACCTGACATCCCATAACTTAGAGTACTTGTATAATGCACCCTAATGTGTAGATCTCCTGTGTAGTTCCTGGAAAGAATAGAAAGTAAACATTATGTTTCTGGTCTTTTTACTAGTGATAATAGATGTTTCTTTGTATTCTGTTTACCTGAAATCTTTGTGGAATTATACCTGATTTTAACCATTTAATTGTCCAGGCATAGAAATTTATCTTCTTTCAACCATGTGAGGTTAAAAAACAATTTTTCTTGCTGCAAACTCTTTCAAATAGCAATTGTTTACAGACTTACGATGATTCTTTCAAAGGGAGGAAGAGAATTTTTTTGGGGGGGGGAGAGAAGTTCTTATTCCAAATTTTGACCTTAACCTCTCTGAGCTGATGAAGAAATTCAGTCTTTCAAAGTTATTCTGTGGCTACAAAATTGCAGCCTGCTGAAGCGGGGACTCTTGCCTGCAGAGTACAGGAAGCAGTTTGACAGTTTAGATTCCCCCCACTCTTCACCCCCCACTCCCCTCCCCCTCCCTCTCCAGTCCAAAGAGCAGTCAGGGTTCCCTGCCCTGTGGGAAGTCCAAGGTCCTCCCCCCTCCATCCAGGTCTAGGAAGGTGAGCATCAAAACTGGCTAGGCTCCCACAAAGCCAGTACATGCAGTAGGATCAAAACCAGTGCCATTGTCCTTGGCTTCTCATCAGCCCTCATTGTCAGCCATGTTCAGAGAGTCCGGTTTTATCCTATGCTTTTTCAGTCACAGTCCAGCTGTCCTTGGTGAGCTCCCGTTAGATCAGCCCCACCATCTCAGTGGGTGGGTGCACCCCTCGCGGTCCTGATTTCCTTGCTCATGTTCTATTTTTAAAGATAAAGACAATGGTTTATGAGCACAATTCAGATTTTTTTTTTTAAGATACTTTGTTTGCAATAGCAGAAGCTAAAAGTGATCGTCTTTGTTGCTCTTCCGTAAGATGGGTGCTGAATTATTTTGCTGGTAAGAAATCTTATCAGTGAAAGGCTGAAAAAGTAAACAGTCTATCCACAACTGGATAATTTTTAGGTCTAGACTTTACCTGTGTGTAGGTAGTGTAGGTGTGCTCAGGTATACTTTCAAGTGTAGAAGCCACCTTTTGAGGAGGCTAGCTGTTAGCCTTGGATATCATTCTTTGAGAACAGCCCACTTTATATTTTGGTTGTTGTTTATTGTATATTTTGTTTTATTTGCATTTTTTGTTTTTTCTTTGTTTGATTTTTGTTTCTTGAGACAGGGTTTCTAGAGCTTGCCATGTAATGTGCAAACCCTAGGATCTACCCATCTCGACTTCCAAGTGTTGGGTGTCAGCAGACAAGGCTATTTTATTTGTCTGGATTCTAAGGATTGAATTCAGGCCTTCATGATTTGTTTCAGGCAAACAGGTTACTGACGGAGCTCTCACCAGTTCTGAATTGTAGCTTTAATTTGCATAGGACTTTATATAATGGTTTTGTACTAGATGACTCATAAGTAGGATTGTTAGTGGACAAGGCAGTCTGACCATAAGTGGACAATTTTTAATATCTGAGTTGTAATCTTAATATTTATATGGCTATATAAAATATTTTTGTCTTTGATTCCTCGTTAAATAAGTTTCTAAACAAAGCATTCTCTTTGTGTGTGTGTGTGTGTATGTGTGTTTGTGTGATATACAGAAATCACTATAATATAGAAAGTTTCCTCTAAGTATTGGTTCCTTGAAAAATTTTAATCAGTGTTTTATAGCCCTTCTTTTAGGAGGACTTGATCAGAAAGTATATGCAATTATATATTAAGCTGAAGTCCATAATATATATATATATATATATATATATATATATATATATATATATATAATACCACTATTATACTTAGTTAATGGCCTAAAATTTTGTTTACGTGCAGAAGGAAATTCAGAATGATGAACATTCTCAAACCAGTTCTGGTTGGACCAAATACAGCAATCAAGAAAAAGGGAATGATTTTAAGAAAGACACAGGATTTCTTGAAATGAAAGCTTATGGAGAGAGCATATATAGAACACAGGTAAAATTTTGTGAGTTAAACATTCTCTAATTTTCCTAAAGAATTGTAAAGGAGAGCCCCTTCTTGGTAAAAGTATTATTAACCTTGGGATCTGAAGTCTATCATATCACCCTTATCTTTTTAGCTCACGAATTGAATATATTGGGAAGTTTGTGTAAATCTGTGTTTTAGGACTCTTTGAAATAATGCATATGTGCCTAAAGAATTGAGTTCCTCAAATATAGTATATTCTCAGCATATGCTTACTTAAAATCTCTGTATGCTTGATGTAGCGCGAGCTTTATAGAACTTTCTCATCTGTGAACACTCTGGCCATAAGCAGTCTAAAGTCAAACGTGTACGTTGAGTAAATAGAACAGAGTTTGAAACATATGAATTTGCATTAACATAGAGAACAAGATACCGGAAAAAAAAAACAAAGCAGGAAGACTGCAGCTGTTGTTCAGTGTTTCACAGGCACAAGTTAAAAACAACAGCGAAGGCAAAGCCTCCTTGGTTCTCCCATAGCAAAGCTAATGCTCATTTCCCATTATGTGCAATATGTCTCTTTGTTAGTTTATCAAATCACTCTCTCAGTAGCTATTAGTTTAAACTGAAACATTTGTGTTCATACTAGGAACAGTTTGGAAGTTTTTAAAATTTGTAATTTCTTAAATAACATGACAAGTTTAACTGAAGATTAAAATATTTTATCCTTTTTGCTCCTACTCCTGAATGCAGTGGCATTTGTGTGCCTTTAAGACTTTTTTCTATTAACATGTGTGCATGTTTAGTAAGGGTTTGGAATTGATATCTGAAATATGCATTCTAAATGAAGCTTTTACATACAGTAAGGAGTGTAAAATGATGAGGTTATCAAAATAGATTTCATTTTATTAAATATATAAAGAGATAATTATTGCAAAAGATAAGAAAGTTATTAAAATAAAATTAGGAGGTTAGATATAAAATTAGCATAGAAATTTCTCAAAGAAAAGGGATTGTAATACTCCTTACTCTGAATTAAATAAATTAAATAAGCATGTTTACTAAGTATATCCGGTAACTTACTATTTATAAAGTGTGGCAAACTAAAGCATATTTTTTCTAGCCCTTTTGGCATAACTAGAATGTATTAAAATTCATTTTACATTTTAAAATTAATCTTATGTGTGTTGTATAAAACCTGCTTTCCTGACATTTTCTGTGTGACTCCCAGTAGTTGTATTGAAGCTGTATTAATCCAGAGTATATTTAATTTTATAAATATGCAGAACAAAATGGGAAATCATGATGAAAGTGTTAATGGTAGATTTGTTCTGAGTGAACATCACAAAAAAGAAAAATTCAGAGAATGCAGAAAAGATATGAAATCTGTTAAAAAGAGAAATGCATTCAGAAGACATACACATGAGAATCAGGTAAACTTTCACAAAAGTATTCGTTAAATTTACTAAGTACAATGTAAGTCATGAATGTCTTGTGAAGTACATGTACGGAAGTGTTATAAGACATTTTGAAGTGTTTCTAAAGGAAGAAAATGCCACTTTATGAACTCATTAGTCAGGGAAAGAATCAGTCTCACCAATTTTTAAGCCATCTCTTGTCATTTCCTAACTATTTTTTTCCATCTTACTTGGAAGTTTCCTTTATTTTAGAACTTATTTTTTTCCTTTTTTTTTAAGTCTTGCTTGTTAATGAACATCTGTATGACACACTATTTATGGACGTTTTCCTCATCCATATGTTTTGTTCAGTTGTGTCGCATTTTTAAACTTCATCCATTTTTGTTGTTGTTGTTGATGAGTATTTGGGTTTTATTTGTTTGTGTTTGATTGGTTGTTTTGTGATTATCAAACAGTTCTGCTATGAACAGTGAATATTCTCTTATGTGACTTGGTACACATGTGTAAAAATTACTGTAGCTGAGAATGTATTTCTAGGAATGAATATATTGTTATCAAACAATTTGTGTCACCTGTTCTTCATGATGCTCAGCTGTTTTGCTAATGTATACAGGTGTGTGGGTGAGATTTTTCTGTGCGTAGATAATTGTATTAAACTTATGATGTAAACTCCCCCCCATTTTTAACTTATTTAGATTTTATGACATTTAATACATATTCTATTTTTTTTAATTGTGATCAAAATACAGAAAGAAACTAAGAAAAAAGTTAAAAATATCCAAAGGAGTTACATTTTAAGGAAAATGAGCAAAAAAGAAGGCTTCTGCAAAACTGATGATGAACATGACACGATAAGAACTTTTCAAAAGCGTGTGCATTACAGAGATAAGGTGAGTAATAGGATATATGTTTTGAAGTTTTCTTTCTTTATAATCAGCCAATGTGATTATTAGAGGTGCTTGCTGTTTTAATTCTATATACTTTGCTAAACTCTTATGGGTTAATTCAAGTTGTAAGAGGTAGTTACTAATAAGCCTGAACAGTAGGCAGTTTATAATTAATGCAAGCTTCCGTGTATTTATTTAGAACTGAATGACTGCGGGACTGGGAGTGACAGAAACTTCCATCCACATAACATTTTACTTATGTATTTAAATATACATTTATTATATTATATACATTAAAATATAGTTATTATAAGTCTATAGTAAAACTTTTTATATGAATATGTAAGGAAATTGGACTAATTGTGATTCTCAAATTAAGTTGTTTTTCATAATTAAAAAGAAAAAGAAAATATCTGAAAGAGAGGCAATTTCTTTTTTAACTTTTTTTTAAAAATTTGAGATTGTAATATAAATGAATACATTTTTCTTTTTTTCCCTCTATACCCTTATGCATTCTCCTCCAAGTTCATGACCTCTTTTTTTTTACTAATTGTTCACTAATAATGATGTATATACATGTATTTTCATGTGTATATGTATGTGTATTCTAACTAACCTGTTCAGTCATATAATGTTACTTACTGCATATATGGTTTTCGAGCTGACCTGTTGGCTCTGGACAACCAATAGGTGTGTGTTTGCCTCGGGAAAAATCCCTCTTCCACTCCTGCCTTTCCTCAGTTGCCTAATGCTGTTTTTGTAGGATTGAGGCTTTATGGGCTTTCCCCATCCACTTTGGCATGTCTGTTGGTGTCTTTCTTGTTCAGCTCATGTTTAGATGGTCATATTACTGAAACTTTATTGGGTATAGTTTCTTATATTATTCGGAGACAGAGTCTCACATAAACTCCCTGACCCTATTACTCTTAAAATCTTTCCTGCCTCTCTTCCAAGTTCCTGGAGCCTTGGGTACTGTAAGTGTATATTCATTGGGGCTGGGTTCTACAATTCTGCATATTGATTACAAATGGTTTTCTGTAATGGTTTCCTGTATGTTGCTAAGAGAACTTTCCTTGATGTGGGGGGAAGACCACCCTCTGTCTGTGAGTATGAGAACAAATATAGATTGCTTTTAGGGATTATGCTCAGTTAGTAAATTAGAAGTGTTGATTTTCCTCTAATAGCCCTGACTTCATTAGCGCTAAGTAGATTTCATGTACCATGCACAAATTTCCTATTGTTGAGTGGTTCCTAACTCCAGGTAGAAAGCTGTTGGTTCCTGCCATTGTATGCATGCCACTACTGCCTCCTCAAGATTATTGTGCCATGTGTTTATTGATGTGGTTCATGGGCTTCATTGCTGGATAGGGCTCTCAGTTGCCTCCATCCTTTTGAAGCTTGCATAGAATTTCTGAACTGTATGGTGTCTTCAGCAGTAGGGATTTACCATCCACCTCTTGGAGGGTAACAAGGGCAGTAGGAGTAGGCTGTATGTTTTGGGGAGGGCAATAGGAGTAGGCTGTATGTTTTGGGAAGGGCAATAGGAGTAGGCTGTATGTTTTGGGAGTCCCCTGCACAGCCCTGGCCAACAACTCAGAAGAAGGCTTCTCATGTCTGATATTGGGGTTTTTGTTTAGGTGTTCTTTGGCTCTTGATTGGAGCACCCTTGTGGCTGAATCTTTTTAAAGTGGAAAACACCACTGTAAACTACATCTGTATGTAATCTCTTCAAATACTAATATTGTTTCTAATTTGTTCTTCTCTGGTGGAATACAAACCTTTTATAATAAAAAAGATAACCTTTTTCTAAAAATGTAACTTTATTTTATAATCCAAGTCGGATTGAACATTTTAAATCCAAAAATCAAAAGTCTGAAATACTTGAGAACAAGTGCTTCTAAGTGACACATGATGAAAATTTCTGATGTAAAGTCAAAAATCCATGCCTCTATGTTATGGGCCAAGCAAAACAGACTAGGTATACCTAAGTTGTGTATTAAAGTTACCTTCAGGCATGTATATAAGAAGTATAAAGAACATCAATTAATTTTTTGTTTAGACTTTGGTTTTATGATAAGTTCAAATGAAAAATTTCTAAGGTACTAAAGATTTAGCTCAGTGGCCCAGCATTTGCCTGCCAAGCTCAGTGTCCTGACATCACTGTGTGGGCTTTAAAAGCAAATAACGAAATCACAAAATGTAAGTGGGATTTCTATAGTCTTGTATTTTGTGTGTGTGTTGAGTATTGTCTTTAGTGCAATATCTAAAGTTCTTTACTTGTATGCAGAAAGAAATGAATTCTCTTCATAATGATTATGCCAATGAATCAAAAATCAAGGATGTCAAGGCAGATATGGATCTCACAGAAGTAAAAAATGCCTTAAAAAAGCAGATATACAGAGACATATATAGAGCTCAGGTAATGCTTTTCACACTAAAATTCTTTCCTTCGTAAAATATAAGTGACTGGGAAGTATGTTTGAATTCTGCTTGTTTTAATCCAGACACTTGGTAGTATTTAGAGAATGCTCTGTGTTGGTAGGTCCTTGAAGTCTGACACTGCAGACTAGCTGGTTGTATTACAACTTTGCGTCTCTGATGAGTTTAAGAAAGGGGCTTGAGAACAGGTGATTTACATATTTCTTGTTAAAGCAGGAACCCTCTTGGTCTACCTTTACATTTCTAGTCAATTAGCATTTGAATTTATAACTTTTTAGTAACAAAATTCAATGTATTTATAGCTTCTCTAACAATTTGGGTATTGCTTTGCTATCTTTTATTGTTTTCCATTGGCTTGCTTAATGAATACCTTTGAAGAACTTTCTTGAATCAGGATGTTATCTTTTATATTTGTTGCAGATACTATAACCTTTTCTAAAAATTTTCAAGTACAGGTAGATTAAAACAATACAAAAAGTTTCTATGTGTTATTTTTAGAAAACATAAATTCATTTTTCTCCCCTTTGGACTTTTATATAACATGTCCTCTGCATTTACATTTTTAATAAAGTACTAAGAAGAATAGACAACTTCAGATCTTTAAAGTAAAAATGGCCTGAAGTCATTTTAATTGAGAAGACAATAGAACTAGTCTATTCATGAGAATACTATGACCCTAAAGTGATGATAGTTACTAATTTGAGTCAGAATGAGTATATAGTATTATTGAATAGAATAATTATAGCTATTAATGTGTTCCTGAATCTGTTTTCAATGCTTAGCCAAGGTTTTGTGCTTTGTAAACTGAAACATATTTTTTAATTTAAATTGTTAAATCTAATTATATGGTTGTCATTTTGTAGGCTGTCCGATACAACTGCATTAGAACTGATAAACAGCCTGTATACAATGTAGAGGTAAGGGGCTTGGAGTTAGATGGTTATTTGAGTAAAAAAAAGAAGTATAAATTTTAGTTATTTTGATTTAAGGTAATGTAATCAGAAATGTGGTGGGGAAGGATTATTCTTTTGGGAAAATATTTCAACACAGCTGTCAATAGTGCTAAGAAAAAAATGTACCTAGTGCTCATTGTAGGTGAACTATATACTTTTTTTATATATCTTGACTTTAATAATTACGGCTTTGGTGTTAAATTCTTCATCCAATACTTCCAAAATATTTTCTGTTATTTATCAACCATTCATTTTTTTAATTGTTTTATTTACTTCTGTGTGCTCTTCAAAAAGGGTCCAGTTAAAAATTGACATCTTCAGATTTGTAAAGCAAACACTTTCTCTCTAAGACTTTCTTTAAGAGGGACAGTTTACCACTTCAGGCGATGAAAAATAAGAAAGAAACAGCAAGTGATACTTTTGCAAACCTTCTAGTTTTTGTTGTTGTTGTTTGGGTTTTTTTGAGAGCCTTCTACTTATGAAAGAGTTCAAAAGCTGTGCAGCCTGTGTTGTAAGGACGGGAACCACCTATTTACAGATGAGGAAACGGAAGCTCTTTACTAATTCAAGAGCTGATCTCAGAGGTGAACTTTTCTGCCTTCAGACAGAAAATTTTTTTTCCTTAGGGTAAAAATGCAGAGCTCCCCAGGGGGATATTAAACTTAATTGAAAGCCTCATAGAGGGACAGTTCTTTAAAGAAGCCATCGAAGAGCTCTCCTCCTTGCAAGCCCAGTATGTGCCCCCTGTGTGCTTTCTCCATGCCCTTCTAGAGAATGTTCTGCAGGTAAGGACACTAAGAATCATTTTTAAAAGAATGCTAAAATGTGAATATTAATTGTAATTTTTCTTTAAATCTCATTTTACTAGAAAGTGCAGTACCCATTGTTACCACTTTTTCTATTTTTAACAATATTTACATACTATATAAATAGTATGTATATAAATATATAAATAGACTTAGCCTATTGAAAAATGGTCAGAATATACTGTATAAAAAACATTGTTCAATAAAAAAAGAAAAAATGTTACCTTTTTCTGTGACTGTAAAGTGACAGAAATGTCAGATTATGGTATCAGATTGCTAAAATGCTTTTAGTAATTAATAGTCATTTTCTTTATGGTATACAGCTTAAGTGAATGTAATTAGTAGAAACAGTTAATTGTATCTATGGAGAAATGGTCTTCTTTCATGTTCAGCAGGGTGCTGATTTTAATGTCATGGCAGGGATAAACTATGCTGTGGTAATATTGGATACGTGTAAGGCTGGCATATGAAATAAAGCATACATCCACACAAACTATGCTGTGGTAATGTTGGATACGTGTAAGGCTGGTATATGAAATAAAGCATACATCCACACAAACTATACTGTGGTAATATTGGATACGTGTAAGGCTGGTATATGAAATAAAGCATACATCCACACAAACTCACATATGCAGAGTGTGTGCATTTTCACATTTGTTTGGACTTGAAAAAGCACATTAAATAGATTTTAAAGGTTAAATGGTGCTAAGATTACCTATTCATTTGTTCACAAAATGCAAATAAAATCAGTTGTACATCTATTTTATATTTATTATTGCTAATGTGATCATTGATTTTGTCTCTTTTGAAAAATGAAATGGTTGTCATTGCAGATCTTTGATTATGCATATAAATAAAAAGGAAGAAAAATAAATAGAGGATTTAGTAAAAGACAGTTGAGCAAAATTGTGGTCTGAAATCAGGCTTTTAGTACCTATGATTTAAAGAATTGATATAATTATCTTATTCTCTTATTAAAATATTAACAATAAATATTTTTGATCATTTCAATAAAATAAAGTCTAAAATTCAAAAAAAAAAGACTGGTATATGAAGAGTTTTCACCTTGGCATTCTTTAGAATGTTCCTTGAGATTCTTAATCTCACCATATCTGCTACCCCTAGTACTTAATGTTTCTGATGTGTGAATGTATACAACAGTCTTCCCTGGTATTTAAAACTGCTGTAGTAGTCTAATCACAAGATTGGGCTAGAATTACTGTTCTAGATTTAAACTAAATTAACTGGCGGAAGTATTTTAGCTACAGTATTTTATTTTGTTTATTTTTAAATAATAGGATAACATAGATACATTTTCTGGTCGATACTTTCATATATTATCAGCTCTTCTTCATCTGCATCCTCCTTGGAAATCACCAGCCATGTTAAGATACTACTTAGAATTATTTCAGTGTCCAACCTGTAGGAAAGGAGCCTGGTCTCTGGTAGAAGTGCTTATCAGGTAAGTTATTCTGCATATGAGGATGCATACATTTGTCTAATAGTTGTTTACTGTTTTTTAGGAACTGATTTTAATAAAGCATATTTGTGTTTTTAGAAAAAATATGAATGCTTATGTTTTGTATTTTGTTGCCAAACTTATAAAAAGGACAAACTTTATATTGATTATGTTTGTCATTTTCTTAAAAAAACAAAGTATACAAAATAGGATAATGCCACATTTTAAATTTTTTTTCCAAAATAATGAATTTGTATTTTTTGAAATAAAAATTATTGAATATAAGCATCAAATTTTAGTCATAAAAAGCAGAAATATTAATCATGATATGCAATATCTAGTTTATGGGTTTATATTATTATAGTTAGATATTTGAATTTTTACCATCACATATTGTTTTCCAGATCCATCATTACATATGTCATCTCCCTAGGCCTTTCTTTGTTTTCTGGGTGTTTCCAAAACCTCCAGTTTTCTTTCCACTAGCTAAACTAATTATGATTTTATGATTTCTACTATAACTTTGGTAGTCCTCCTTTGTTGGAAAGATTTTTTCACTTATGTATCCACAAGTGTCCTTCATATAAGAGCAAAAAGACACTTGGGTAGCTAGGCAAAGTTTAGATCTTTATAAGTTTCTTGAACACATAACCAGGCTTTGTTGCAGAATAATTGGGATGAAGTATGTTATAAACACTTGAGTCAGCAAAGTGCTTGTCACACGAGCATGGAGAACATGTGTTTAGTTCCCTGAACTTTTGTTTTAAAAAGCGGGTATGGCGACAGTATGCTTGTAATCCTAGCATTGGGCAGAGGCAGATCTGTCTGTCTCTGGGACGTGCTGCCATTGTGAGTTCTGGGTTCATTAATAGCTCCTATTTTGCTGGATGTGGTGGCTCACGCCTTTAATCCCAGTACTTGGCAGTCTAGTAGCCTGGCCTACAAAGAGAGTTAGTTCCAGGACAGCCAGGGCTGCATAGAGGAACCCTGTCTTGGTGGGGGAGCTATTATTTAAAATATAAGGTGACAATTCATTGAGGGAGATACCTGATATCAACCTCTGGTCTCCACATGCACACAAACATGTATGCATATAAGCAAACACACAAAGACAAGGAAACTGGAGACAGAAATGAAAAGCAACAGATACATTGTTGATATTATCAATAAAAAAAATTGGAGTTAAATAATGAATACCGTTGCTTAACTTCAGTCTCTGTAAGTCTTAAAATTTATTAGTAGTCTTGCTTTCTCTGTAAATTTACACTGCAGGGCTGGAGAGATGGCTCAGGGATTTAGACACTTTTTGATCTTCCTGAGAACCCAGGTTCTATTCCCAATACCAAAATGGTGGCTCACAACCCTCTATACTTAAAATTTTAGGGGATCCAATACTCTTACGTTCTGACCTCTGCTGGTACCAGATACACACAGTGCATAAGCATACATGCAGGCAGAAACCTCCACGTATAAATAAATTTACAAACTTCTTGATTTAACAATCATGTCTATGTGTGTATATGTGTGTGCATGTGTGTGTATATGTGTGTGTTTGTGCACTATAGAACTGTGCTAACAAACTCTTTCCTCATATGCACAAGCCAATTCAAGTGTGTAGTAACACACAGCAATTGCCATTTAAAGTTCTGTTAATCATGTTTATGACAAGATAAAAATAAAATATTTAATTTTGAAAACTCTTAACTAGAAGCTATTTACTCGTTTATTAATGTAGTGGAAATGAAAATAATCATGGGTAAGAAGTATACTATACTTAGTATTATTATCTGATATCATGGTGGATCAAAAGGACTTGATGAAATTTCTGTGTCTTGGTTCTAACCAGTGAAATGAAGTGAGCAAACAGAGTATTGACAGTTGCTAGATACTATATTGAAACAGAGAAACTAGATTTGTGTTAAGAACTAAATCTTAGCCGAGCAATGGTAGCATACACCTTCATTTTCAGCACTCAAGAGTGGGTAGATCTCTGTGAGTTCAAGGCCAACCTGCTCTACAGAAGGAGTTCCAGGACAGCCAGGGTGAAACAGAGAAATCCTGTCTTGAAAAATAGACAATAAAACAACTCAACAACAAGAAAAAAGAACTAAATCTTTTACATTTGACATGATTGAAATTTAAAGGAAGAAAATATTAAGAAAATTTTATTGAGCTTGCTTTAAAACTGTTGAAGATTTTGTTAAAATTGTAAAGTAGTCTTTAAAAATAAATATTTTGTCCACAATTTATTCAGTAACTTTCTTTTCATGAAATACATTGTTGGGTTCTTATTATTCAGGTCTTGCCTTTTCAATGAAGGTTTCTGTCATCAAATATCAGAAAATATTGGTTCTAAGGTGGTCCATCTTACATTGCTCAAGTTTTTCTTTCATTTACTTGAAAGTGAAGTACGGCATTTGAGTCAAAAGTAAGTGCTAATCACAAGAAATACTTTGCCATAGTTCTGTTGTTTATAGTTATATATGTATCTCTCTTTAAGAAGTCTCCTACTTTATGTTTCTGTATAGGTTTTGTTTCCGTTTTTAAATACATCCCAGTGGCAGTGACAATTTGCTTACATTTTTTTTTCTTTCTCTTCAGTTCATGTTTTTCTTACTTTTCATTTAGAAGAATATGTTTCGGGAACATATATATGTAAGTTATAGGTGATATATATTCATAAATGCCCTGTATACATCACTGGTTTTTATTGAACTGAGACCATTTTTTTCTGTTATAGGCACATTCATATATATGTATCAATTCACACATGCGTGTATTTATGTGAGAGACCAAAGAAAGGCTCAACCTGAGAAGCAGCCCTCAGTAATATCCATCCACAGTGTTTTTCGAGACAGGGTCTTTCATTGCCCTGTAGCTCATAGAATAGTGACCAGTGAGCCCAAAGACCTGCTTGACTCGACTTTCCCAGCACTGAGACTATAACATACTCAACCCATGAGACTATTTTTAATATTTTGTCCTTTATTATAGCTCTGTTGTAATCTTTATATATTACCACCTTTCTCAAAAACTGGTGACATTCTTGTTCTATCAAAATAGGTCTAATAACTGCTATGATTACATTGATATAATAATTTACTTTTTGTTTTTGTTTTTATTAGGTTGTGTGACTGGTCAAGTTCTCAAAGTCTAAAGGAAACAGAAAAAGGAATTCTTCTTGAAATCTTTTGGTCAGGGAGTGAAACTTCAGGACTTTTGTCAAAACCAGTAAATATGCTTTTGGAGTGGACTATCTATTCTCACAAGGAAAAATGCAAGTCTAATGATGTAAGTTGGATTACTTTACAAAACAATATGATCTATGGAAAATTCAGTTTCCCCTCCTTATCTGTAGGTTTCACAAATATGGATTCACCCAGTTCATATAGAAATACTCAAAAAAGTATCCTCCCTACTAACCATGTCCAGACTGTCTTATCATTATTACTTCAGCAGTCTGGTATAGCAATCATGTCACATTTAGACTGTATTAGTTATAGGTGATCTATACACCATCTGAAACAATGGGAGGATCATGGACATGCGGGCATCAGAGTACTGTGTAAGAATCTTGAGCATTCAGATTGGGGATCTGTACATTTGAGACCTGTGGTATGTCCTAGAAGGAATCCCGGGCATAGATGCTGAGGGATTTTGTCCTTTGCAATAGCTTGTATTTTTCCTTTCCTTTTATAGTTTGAACTCCTTGAACAAATTTGAACCCAAGTTTGTTACCGTTTGCTATGTAGTTTGTTTATGTGTATGGTAGCAATGCTTACAGGGCAGATTCTTCGTCATCTCTCATTGAGACATACTATCCTGCAAGATTTACATGTCCAGAATTGTAATGTCTATAGTTATCATTCTAAATGTTTTATTTTTAGATCTTTCATATATATTTATATGTGTGTATATATGTGTGTGTATAAATATATCTATATATAAAGTATATATGTATATATAATATATATTTTAGACATTCCATTTTTAACAAAACTATGGTTTAAAAAACTAAACTATGCCATTTTGGAGAGTACCACAATAAAACGTTTTGCTTGTTTTTAAAATTTACTGTATGTTCACAACTTACTGAAGCATTTCTTCATGAGTAGATTTTACTGTCATTGCAATTCATAGAGTATATTATCTATTTTCAGAATGTCCTAGAATATTAAGTATAATAAAATATTAATCTTTATCTCAAAATAAATATAAATGAATATATAATTGAAATATATGTTAAAAATTGATAAAGAGAATTAATGATACACTGTCCAGCCGTTTTTAGTTTTAAAAAAGTAAAATAAAACTTAGGCATACACCTGGAATAAAAGGCAACAAAAAATACACTGTAAGGTTTATATTCATAATGCAAATATGTCCTTTTAATGAATAAAGCTATAAACCAAGTGGGAAATGGAAACTAATTATTAAATGGCAACCTGTGGGCTTTAAATGTTGAATCTATTCATTAAAGGTTATGAAAATTTAAAAATAAGTGTCATTACTCTTATCACTTAGACTGTGGTAGCTACTCTTGTAAAGAGTATTATAGATTTTTCTCATGTTTATTCCCTACTATATCCTATGCAATAGAGCTATTTTTCTTATGATATTGTGAGTAGGAATACTAAGCCACAAAATACAATTTTCAATTTTGCAAAGACTTTATATTTCTTTATCTTCAAACTCAGACACTGATCGTCGTTATCACACTGTTTTCGTGACTAAATTGGACTGTTGTCCCTCTCTATTACTTCTGAATCCTACAGGTCACTTATGTGCCATGTGGCCAGGATGTATAGAGAAAGGTTCGCAGGCTCGTCCATAATAAGGGAACTTTGATAGATGTTTAAAATACAGTATTTAGATATTCTATGTCAGATGAACGCATTTTAGTGTGTTGTAGCAGTGTATCTATTTTTTATATTGACATTCCTTTTTACCTGGTAGTTATGATTTCATAGCTAGCATTTGGACAATACATATATGAGGACAGGAGGAGCATGCTTCTCTAAGTCTTAGTCAACAATTAAATGATACCCTCCTTTAGTGCACTGTGTAATTGTATAATCAGCTGAATCAGGCTAGATAATGACGGGGAGTGATATGCAGGGAGGGCGCTTGTTCGTTCCCAGCTGCTCACCCCCACAATAATCACACAGAAATTGTATTAATTAAATCACTGCTTGGCCCATTAGCTCTAGCTTCTTATTGGCTAATCTCTTACATATTAATTTAACCCATTTCTATTAATCTCTGTATCACCACGTGACAGTAGCTTACCGGCATAGTTTTGGCATGTCTGACTCTGGCAGCTCCATGGAGTCTCTCTGACTCTGCCTCCTTTCTCTCAGCATTCCATTTAGTTTTCCCCACACAGCTCTGTTCTACCCTATCAGGCCACACCAGTTTCTTTATTCATTAACCAATAAAAATAACCCAGAGAAAAGGACCTCCCTCACCAGAGTGATATCATTATAGAACTGTTATCTACCATGCATAGAGCAGGGAAATTGCAGAGTATTTTGTGTAGTAAAATTGTATGAGGGTATAAAGAAGAAAACATAATAAGTTGAGTGCATTGTAGTTAATGCCTTCTGTCTTTCAGAATAGTCTGCCTTTGGTTCTTTTTCATTACGTCATTACTTTCACACTTTTTAAACTTTTATTGTCTCATCTATCTTCTTTAATATTTGGATCTTTTTTGTCTTTGTTTCTAATACTTGTATTTAGTAGGAATTACTTTTGGAGTACAACTTGGCCTTCATTTCATGTATTTAATACTTTAATTTAGGGCATGATTATTTTTTTTATTTTTGCCAATAACTTTGTTACTGCACAAACAAAATTGCTCTTAATACAATAATTCTTCTACTAGTAGCATATATTATCTAGTTAAGAGTAGACTTACATTCAAAATTACCTGAAATTATTTCTTTTTTTTTAATTTTTTATTGAAAAAAAAATTTCTGCTTCCTCCCAGCCTCCCATTTCCCTCCCTCTCCTCCCACCCTTCTCCTTCTCCCCCCACTCCTCTCTCCCTCCCTCTCCAGTCCAAAGAGCAGTCAGGGTTCCCTGCCCTGTGGAAAGTCCAAGGTCCTCCCCCCTCCATCCTGGTCTAGGAAGGTGAACATCCAAACAGGCTAGGCTCCCACAAAGCCAGAACATGAAGTAGGATCAAAACCCTGTGCCATTGTCCTTGGCTTCTCATCAGCCCTCATTGTCCGCCATGTTCAAAGAGTCTGGTTTTATCCCGTGCTTTTTCAGTCACAGTCCAGCTGGCCTTGGTGAGCTCCCAATAGATCAGCCCCACATGATTATTTTTTGAATAGTAGTTTTCTTTTGTTAAGTTTGAGTTCTCCTTTTATACATTGTGCTAAGGACTGAACCCAGGGTCTTCTTTTCTTGGTAACCAAGGAGTCTTACTACCAAGCAGTATGGCCATCCCTCAGGAGATATGTATTTTAAGATTTGCAAGTGGATGATGTTGTGTTACTGTGAATGAGTTTTGTTTGTTTGGCTGTCCTTAATCTTATAATTTCTGATGTGAGTTATAGTGAAATGCTGTGGTTTTTCTGCTTTCTTGGAATTTACTGATTTTTTTTTTTGTCCCTAAAGGAAATTAGGTTGCAAGAATGTGTTTTTGTTATAGTTTATGATATTCTTGGTCAACTACTAGGACAAGCTTAATCTACTCTGTAGGTTTTTTTTAATTTTTTTAATGCCATCCTATTTTTCATATTGACATGCCTTCCTAACTGGTAGTGAGGATGCCATAGCTAGCAGTTAGGCAGTAAACAGTTTGTTAAGGCAGAGGATGTTGGTGACGAACCAACCAAAAGCCAATTTTTTTTTTTTTTTTTTTTTTTTTGGTATTTTGGGGTTTCTCTGCAGCTTTGGTGCCTGTCCTGAGACTATCATTTATAGACCAGGCTGGCCTCGAACTCACAGAAATACGCCTGCCTCTGCCTCCCTCCTGAGTGCTGAGATTAAAGGCATGTCCCACCACTGCCCAGCTTGCCAATTCTTTTTTAAAGAATGAAATCCCATGTAGTCTGCAGTTTCTTTTAAATATTTCCTGCGATCTGTTTATTGCTGTTTGTTAAACTTACAGTACTTGTCATACATTTTTATAGATGGGGCTACTGTACTTTTTTATATTTGTAAAATTACTAATACAGTATTTTCATCAATTTTGTTTACTAATTCTTTTCAGCTATGTCTAGTATGTTGCTAAACATTTGACTGTATTTTTAATTTTTGTACTTCCTGCTTGTAGCTCTTTTATATCTCCTGCTATGACTTTTGTTTGTTTTGGTTTTGGAGCTTCTAATACACTACAGAAATTTCACTTTCTTCCTTTGAACATTACAGTAATAGTTATTTTGTGATCTGTGCTGGTTCTGCTTATTTCCATGTGTGAGGTTCTGTTGTTTCTTCCTGTATTATTATTTCCCTGGTCTCCTATGTATGTGTTTTTCCTTTCTAAGCCTTTTATTTTTCTCTCCTGTACTAGTTATTATTTATGACCTGTTTTAATAACTATTTGTAGAAACAGTTTGTCAAAAAACAAAATATATTTTTTACAGAGAGAGTATTCTTTACTTCTGTCATGGGCCTCAGTAAGGACCAACTTGATGAATGTCACAGGCTCCGCCCAGCCCAGATGAATAAGACTCCATGTTTGCTGCGCTCTTTCGTTCCTTCTCAGTCTCAGAGTGGGGCCTGCAGGTCTTGGCCTACTGTGAATTAAGCCTTTGGCTGTGACCTTTCTCACCAGTTTCCAGTAATTACAGAAACCACAGTTTTATGCCTTTATACCCCTCTGATAGAATCTCCAAAACTGTTCAGGACAAAGGGAGGTAGTTTTTAAGTCTTCCTTCACTTTTTACCAAACTCTTGGGTATTTTGACATAACATTTCTCTTAATTACCATATATTTGTTTTATGTATTTCAGCTGACATTTTTTGTTGACATAGGTGTCTGTCCCACCCCATCCAACAGCCATTCCATCCCAAAGAAATAAATATACAGAGGTCTACATTAATCATAAGCTGGTTGGCCTATTAGCTTAGGCTTCTTAGTAACTCTTACATCCTACATTAACCCGTAATTCTTGTCTGTGTCAGCCACATGGCTTGGTACCTTTTATCAGCAAAGCATTTTTTATCTTGCTTCCTCTGCTTCTTGGTTCTGACTACAGACTGAGCCTTTCCTCTTCCCAGAATTCTCCTGTTCTCATCGCCCTGCCTCTACTTCCTGCCTGATCGCCCTTCCTATAATT